AGAAAATGTATTTACAAAAGGCATATAAATTTTATTTGAACATTATGTACTCAGGGTTTACAACTTAAGAAGTGGGTGGAGGCAGGAGGGCCAGAGTCCAGAAAACAAAACTAAATCCACACAGGAACTTAAACACAGGAAAACAGTCCGGGGCCGTCCACGGCACAGGAGGCGGAGCTTGGGCCGCTGAGGGCGGCGACGCTGGTGCAGGAAGCACAGACAAGGAGGCAGGTCTGGTGGGCCGGCGGGAAGGCCGGCTGGAGTCTCTGGCGGAGCACTAGGAGGCTCTGGCAGAGCGTCCGCAAACTCAGGGGGCGGACCACAGGAAACTCGGGAGGAGTGTCAGCAAACTCGGGGGGCGGAGCCACAGGAAATTCGGGAAGTTCGAAAACTCTGGAGCGGACGGCTGCTCACATGCAGCAGACGCAGGAAGCTCTGGAGGCGCCCAGGGGCCAGGACCTCCGGCGGCTCAGGTCGACGGTGACGTCGGTGCCCAGGGGCCGGAACCTCCGGGGGTCAGGGCAACAATAGCGGCGGGGTCCGACCCCTGGTGGGCACAGCGCCAACCGTGTACCCCACCAAGGGTTAGCCCTGGCGTCCATGATACTGGCACAGCTCCTCACCGTAGTGTGGTCGGATCCTTCTGTCATAATGTGGTGTGTTGAGGTGAGGATGTGGACGCAGGCGGACCCAGGTTGAAGGTGAAGATGAAGAGTTTAATGGTGATAATCCAGGTAAACAACAGGGAACAGCACAAAGAAACAGGCGACATACGACAAGGATCCGACAAGAGACAAGGACAGCAGGTGGGTTTAAATACACACGGGGTAATCAAGGGGATGAGACACACCTGGGAAACAATCAATGCGGAGGACTGGACAGTGACTTACAGGAAACGGGACTGAACACAGAAAATCTCAAAAATAAACACACAGAAACACGGATCATGACAGCTAATAAGGCAGTTAAGGTCATCTGGGTGACTGATATTAAAACATTACAAGCCTTTTGGATCAGAGGTGAAATGTGTTCAAGACAAGAGAAGTTCAGTTCCTTTATATTAATGTCAATTTGGTTGAAAAGCATTTTTAAGTCAGTTATGGTTTCTGATTATTATTCTGATCTTTCAGGACATCAGAATAGAGTCTAAACAGTCAAATGGAAAATTTCTGGAGTTAGACTCATAAATTATTTTTGCTTTTTTTACAGGTATGCAGTGATGAAGAGGATGATTCAGTGAACTATGAAAATGTCATGGCTGCTGATGAACTTTGATTCTTCTGCTTCTGATAGATTTGAAGAATAACAAAAACCAAAATATCAGCTTCATGAAAGCTTTAAATCATTTCAGTAAAATCAGGAAGACCAGAAAGTAAAGCTTTACTGGAAGAGCCGAGATCTTCTGAACATTTTTCTTTTTATTTCACTTTGGCAGGGAAACAGACAGAAGCTTTTTTCTGATTATGTCCTACACATATTTGTATGTTTTGTTTAAAACCTTTTTGAAATAAACCCAAATTTTAAAACTACAATGAAACAAAACTGGTCCATGTCATTCAGTAAAGTCAAATTCCCAGCAGAGGAGATGATGTGAATGACGACAGTCGACTTTTAACCGAACAGAATTTGTGAAAATAAAATCTCAACGTGGGATTTGTATTCAAAATAAAGATAAAATATTCAAATGGATAAAAATTTCCAATGTGAGATTATATTACTGGAACAATAATATATATAAAAGGTATTTGTATTTATCCTTAGCAGGACTGACTGCAGTAATCACAGTATTTCACATGAACATGTTAAATGTGTGACTTCATTCTTCCTTCTCTGATCTGCTGCAGACCCCCAGCTGGTCTCTCTGCCTGCAGCAGGTTCAGTCACAGTTATGTCTGTCAGATATGAAGACTGGGCCATAAACCTCCTTACGGTTTGAGTGGCTGGTTATTGGTTAGATAGTATCTAAACTACGGATTCACTAGTTTTACCCATTTTTACAACTTTATAGTTACAGTCAGCTCTTTCTTATTTAAGATGCAACATATTAATATGAAACTATATATAATGACTCTGATGCTCTCATCTGTCATCTGCTCATCTTTACCAGTCAAAACCTTCTGATATCTTTATCCACATTTTCACAGAAAGTTTCCTCTTAGCTCTCAGAAATAAACCGTTCAGTGGAACCGTGGACAGATAAAGGGTCTGAGATCAGCTACACACCTGAAAGTAACCGAGGAGGTGAGAGGTGAGGCATTCACACATATCCAACTGTAACTTTCACACATTCATCATCTTTCTGTATTTAGCGCCTCACTGTCAGAAACTATTAATCTCATTCTGCTGCTGTTTTCTCTCAACATTTACTGGTCAATTATTTTCCTGTTTTAAACAGATAAGATGTTAATTATAAATATTATATTTTAGTAACCCTTTGACCTTTTGACCTGTTCAGGTTTAATGTCCTTTATCCTGTGGTCTCAGACTGACAACAGGATGTCTAAACTAGCTAAGCTAAAAAAAATAGTTGAACCGTCCGTCAGTTTGAGGAAGTGACATCATGCGGTTCAGAGGAAGTAGATGCTGCATCTCTACCAGTCAGTCACACAAGAACAAGAGAACAAGAGACACACGATGGCCGAACTCAGATGGATTATAATGTTTTTCTTTTTAATGCTAATCTTTACAGGTAAGAATACAGTTACAGTATATTTATTGATTGTCTCGGATCACCTTTTTATGAAAATGCACAAGAAAATATGAGTTTTGACTAAATCTTCCCAAGATTAACATTAATTGCTTTAATTATTGTGACATCAGCTACAAAAGCTGGAAATTCCTGATTTTCTTTCTCTCATCTCCTCAGCAGCTGAACAAATATCTTACTTTGTTGTCAGAGATGGAGATGAAGTCTCTCTGCCTGCTGAATGTTTTAGAAACCAGATGGAAACTTGTAATAAAACTACCTGGATATTCACTGGTCAAAGTAATAAAGCAGAACCACTGTATGAACATGGGAATATTCATAAAGATTCCAGAACTAAATCAGACAGACTGAGTGTTACATCAGACTGTTCACTGGTTATAAAGAAGATCTCAGTGGAGGATGTTGGTCTTTATGTCTGCAGACAGTTTAAATCATCAGGACAAAAAGTAGCAGAATCTGAGGCTGATCTGTCTGTTATTAACAGTGAGTATTTATATCATTATGTTTTCACTTAAAAATATTTTTACTGCAATAGACAATGATACAGTATCACTACAACTGAAGTGATGAAGTCAGCATTAATGTTGTTACTGTATCAATATCTTCCTCTTCCTCAGTGACTGAACAGAAGATCAGTGATGAAACCATCCTGATCTGCTCTGTATCATCATTTGCTGGATGTCCTCAGTCAGTGAAGTGGCTGTATGATAACAAAGATGATGAAAATATCAAAACCATAACTCCTCCTCAGTCTGCCTGTTCAGCCACTGTGAGCTTCACAACTTCTCCTCATGTTTCCACATCAAAACGTTCTGAGTTATTCAGATGTCAAGTTAAAACTCGAGGAGACATGAAGGAGTTTAGCTTCAGGATTTCACCTCTGAGAGAAAAACCAGGTGAGAAAATGATTAACATTTTAACCTTCAACAGGTTAAAAGGTTGGGGGGAAAATAACTGGGAAAAGTTTTGGTTGTGGGATTTTTAAAAATTATTATTTTAGATACATTTCAAACAACTGAAATGATGACAACTTTGTCAACTTCAGAAACAACTTCAACACTTTAACTAGGCTACTAGTTAAAGTCATATTATTTTCCTCTTTACTAGCAAGTAAAGAGGAAAATAATCTGAAAACTGATAAATTTATGAAAACCAATATCTAAAAAAGTGAAAATGGACAAAAATAAATTAAATGAAACATGAATAACCAATAAAATGCAGCAATATCAAAGGGTAAGGATGAATATGTCAGAAGAATGATATCTTATGAGGAATTAAAATGTGGACATATTTTGTCTAAAGCTAACAATGAAGAACAGTTACTAGTTGTTGAAATGCAAAGGAGAAAAATGATTGGTGCTTCATCACATTAATGACTATAAAGGTAGAGATGAAAAACAAATATGGATTCCAAAACTCCAGGACAGATGAAAGGAGGATGGGATGTCACATCCAGACTTAGTGGAGCTCATGGCAGCTAACATGTTAGCATTGTCAGTCAGGATGAACAGCTAGTCACCAGCATCTGTCTCTGCTCAGATTCATCCATCCTTCTGTTCTGATAAACATCATAACCATTGGACTCTTCTGTTATTAAGATTACAGCTGAAATATGAATGTTATTATTACATTAACTTTCATTGTTTTCTGGTTCTGCAGACTTCAGGACAATCATCACTGCAGCTGTTGGTTCAGTTCTGCTGGTTGTGACTGTTGCTGCAACAATCGCATGGAGAAAAACTAAAGGTGAGATTTTATTAATGATGAAACTTTACATCTATAAATCAAACATTAAATCTTATTTTCTCAACAAATTAAATTTTTGTTTTTAATTTTTCAGGAAACAAAACATGGATGAATAAAAACACAGTGAGTTTCGAACAAAATCACAAATAAACTTTTTTTTAAGAAATAATCTTAAATTTGGAGATTGGCCTGACAGAAATGTTTATATGTCTTTTATATAACTGCAAACTTAACTGTCAGTTAAAAGCTTTAACTGTTTCAGATGTAAATCAGAGAATATGATACTGGATTGGATGATAGGATCACAGCAAGAAACTGAGCAACTTAGTTATTTTAATGCCTAAATGTTTTATTTGATTAAAATAGTTACATTTTATTAAAATAGCTTCATTTTGAAAACTTCCTCTGATTGCCCTCTGTGTATTTAAATCCACCTGTGTCTCTTGTTCCTTGTCGGATCCTCATCTGTTCTGTTGTGTTTCATGTCGTTGCCTTTATGTGTCCGAGTCGCCTGTGCTGCCTGAGCTTTTTCCTTCTGCTCACCTTTGCTGCCTGCATTGTATTTGTGTGTTCATCATTTTTCAACAACCTGAGTTCACTACATCTACTCATCACAAATCATGACGAAAAGCTAAAGTGTAGCAGATTTAACCCTGCAGATTGCAGATGTGAAGGTTTTAACTAAATCAAATATCGTTTCTGGTTGATTTGATTTCAGGAACAGGAGTTGGTCCCTGCAGGATCTCAGGCTGCAGGAGGATCCAGTCACAACTTGGTGAGTTTAAACCCTCAGCTCTGTTTTCTGTACAATCAGCATCTCTAATGTTAGCTAACGCTCAGTGTGCTGTCCTCACTGCACAGGAGGATCCTGCAGGTGGAGTCGCCTACGCCTCCATCAGCTACACCAAGACGACCAGCAGCAACACCAGAGTAAGAACTCTGAGAGGTTTCAGCGACCAAAAAATCCAGATGAAAGATAAAATATATTTTTTTACATTTGTTTTGTTTGATAAGATGTTCACAACTCTGAAAAAAGACTGAAATGATTTCACTTATGTTTTTACTTAACTGCTATCACTCTACATGAGTATTAAGACATTTTCTGTTTATTTATAGCAGCATCTCATTTCATTTGATCATCATTTATGAATTTTATGCTTTTCTGTTAATCCTCAGGTCATTGATGGTGAAGATGATGATGGCCCAGTGACCTACAGCACAGTGAAACCTTCATCCTCAGATGATCCCAGTAAACTCTACGCTGCCGTCAACAAACCAAAACATTGAGACATTTTGTGACTTTACTGTTGATGAAGGTTATGGTTGATTCAAACAAGTAAGAATTCAGATTATACATAATCCCAAATTGAATTCAAATGATTCTGGTCATATTTTTTAACCCAAATTAAAATTTTTACTTTGATAATTGTTGTTTCTTCTTTGAGTCCAGCAGAGGGCGCTGTAGGACAAAGATCACAGAATATATTTTGACCTTTTATTAAAGAATTAAAAAATGAGAAATGTTTAGGAATTGAAAGTCTGTTGGATTATTGAATATGACCTCACATTGTGTACAAGTTGAAAAGTTTTTGTTTTTCATTCAACTTTCTTTCAAATCTATTTAGTAATTTATTGTCTCCTTTTAAAATAGTTCAACTAAGTTTTTGCTTCTCACTCATTTACAGATTTATTTAATTATTTGATTCTCTTTATTGCTGTAATTTGTTGTTACTTTTGCTTCCCTAATTCATTTTCTAGAGATTTTCTTTTCTGCTTTTAATCATTGATTATTGACTTGATGATGTTACTCTCTGGATTGTTTTGTGTGGATACACATTGGCAATCTATTTCTTTAATTATCTGCTTGCTGATCATATTACATTTTAAATTTTCATATTTTTGTAAATAATATTGAAATTAATAGAGAAGTGCCTTCGTTTCATCTTTCTGTAAAAAGATGAAACATTTTGATGTGTATTTTAAAACAGTTTCCATGACTCTTTAAACTCCTTATGACATTTCTGACCCATAATCTCCATTATGGTGACAGTCCTGCATCATTCCAGTAAATACCTCTTTGGGATTATTTTCTTCGAAGATCTTAACTTGTCATAGTAACACTGGGGCAATCTGTTATTGGGGAACCTTAAAGTAATCAACAGTGTTCCAGACTGAGCCAATTTACTGTCGGGACAGTAGGCAGGAGTAGCAGACAGATGGCTCCCTCTGGTGGATGTCGGTGGGGTTGCATGTTGTGGACCTTTATTTTGCTTCCTGCCATTAACTTTGTCTCTTGTACTTGAACCAACTTTTGTTTTAACTTTTGTAAGACAAGTAGCTTGTGACTGTATTAAAACAGTTCTATAAAAATTGACTGATTAATTGATAACTATAATATAGAGTAGGTGAGACATCCTTTTAATATTGTTCTTTTTTTGCTTTATCAACTCTTGATTCCTGATAAAAAATGAAGATGAGACAGTGACCTTCAGCTCTATGAAAGCTTCTTCCTCTTCTGCTACCTCCATCGATCCAAACATCCTCTATGAAAACATTAAGATCGTTAAGACAATTTGTTTTCTCTTTTTGCACTTTTGAGGAGATAATAGAAATAGACCTAATAGACATAAGATATACATAATAAGAAAACCATAAAACCATAGATTTTCGCATATGATGTAAAACTACATTTAATCACCTTTAGTCCTTACGGTTTCTCCTGACATCCACAAGGGGGAGCAGTAGATCCATCTTTTTAAGTTAGAGAAGGAAAACAATACAATGTAAGGTTTCAAACTGCTTTTGTCTGTAAATTATATTTGTTAGAACATAAATATATCCAGTAAACATTTCATGTGGTCTGTTCTTCAGGAAGTAAATATTGAGTTGCAAAAGTAGAAACATTTTCATATTTACATTTTAAGTAAACATGTAAATTTTTTATTAGCCTTTTTCCTAAATGAGTGACACGTAAACAATGATTTAATTCTAAATTTCCACTTCTCCCTAAGCATGTTTAGTTTTTTTCACACTTGTTGCTTCAAGAATCTCAAAATTCTTTCAGAACATGACAAACATTAGCTTTTAGTTTTTGCTCATTTATTACTTTGTCTGATTATTGAACGTCCAAGGAAATGATTATTAACTGTCATGTCACTGGAACCTCAGTGATCATCTGCAAAGCCGTCCTGATGGCTCCAGCAGTGCATGGCAGCCATGTTGGATTTTGAGGTCAGTGTCGTCTGACCTTAACTTGGATTCTGACTTCAGGCTCACCTTTAGAGCCTAAAGCCTGATGATTTGAAACAAATTGGCTGCTGTTGTAGTTTCAGTTGATTGAAGCTGTTTTTGTTTTGCATAAACTGTAGAAGAAAAGAGGAGAGGAGAGGAGGAGCCCTTCAAACACCAGCTGTGACTAGAAGAGTAAAACCAAAATGAAGAAGTGAAGTCTAAAAACGACAGGAAGTAGAGACATTGTGCTTTAAGAGCATCGGCTCAGAGAGCTAAACAGGAAATGAGACGATGAAGCAGAGAGGAGCAGAGGAGGAATCCAGATGGAGGAAAATGTTTTTATTTTTCATCCTGATGCTGCAATTTGCAGGTAAGATTCAGTGCAAACTGTTATCCATCCTCAGTGAACCATGGAGTTTAGTTAGATACATATTTTACCAAAACATTTACTTTGTTATTCTGCATTTAAACTTCTGACCTGAACATCAATATTTCTGATTTCCTGTTTTCTTCTCAGGAGCTGGACGCAGAGATCTGATCCTCTACTCCACCGTCAGAGCTGGAGATGACGTCACTTTGTCCTGTGAAAATGTGGCTGATGGTCACAGAAACTGCAACACCACAAACTGGCTCTACAGCCGTTCAAGACAATCAGCGGTAGTAACACTGGTCAAACATGGAAAGATTGAACATGGCCGCTCAGACAGACTGAGTGTTTCTGCAAACTGTTCTCTGGTTCTAAAGAAAGTCTCAGCTGAGGATGTTGGTAAGTACACCTGCAAACAGCTGAGATCAGGAAGACACTCGGGTCCAGATGGCTTGGTGTATCTTTTTACTGTTAACTGTGAGTATTTACATCAGATTCTGGCTTTAGCTTTCAGCACCAGCACATTAGCAGCATAAACATTATGGCTCCAGAAACAGAAGCAGCCAAACTGACTCCATCTTTCTCCTGTTATCCATCCTCAGTGACTGAACATGAGGAGCAGCACCGGCTGACATTACGCTGCTCTGTGTCGAAGTATGAAAGATGTAAACACAGAGTGAAATGGCTGCATATGGGAGTCAGTTTGGATAAAGAAAACCAAGATATAAAAGAATCATCAACTTCCTGCTCTGCTGCCGTCACCTTCAAATCATCTCATTATGTCAACCCATCAAGTTTGAACTCCTTCAAGTGTGAAGTAAAGGCAGATGACAAAGTTCAGCTTTTCACCTTCAGCTCTCGTCCGTCAGGTGAGAAACTTTAAAATCTATAAACCTTCCCAGCTGTTAACTATTTATTACAGTAAAATAGTTATTGACTGTTAAAATATGACCCATGTTCCTTTGTTTAGTGAAAAGCACAACAGCAGTGACAGAAAATCCAGCAGTATCATCAGGAGTGTCATTTATAAAAACATCACCCAACATAAAACCAGAAACAAACACAGGTGTCACAGAAAAAGGTTGTGAAACTTTTTCTTATCATTTCTGTTCCCTCCAACCACATTTCAGCCAAAATGTTAAGTTTCATTGTCTAATACTTTATTTTATAAATGATGTATTAAAGGTGTTTGACAAATACACCGGATGTTTTTATCAACATTCATTTTTCTGACATTTACTTTCTTCCTCCTGAAGACTTTATGGTTTGATCTCTGCAGGTTTGCTGTGGTTATGCGTCACTGTGGCCTTTATAGTGACTGTTTCTGTGTTCATTGTGCTGAAGAGAACCAAAGGTGACATAAGAAACCTTTTACCTTTGTTTTACTGGCCAGTCTTATTTTTTAATTCATTCTTTATTATTTTTTAATTTTGTATTTTCAGGGAACAGAATCCAACAAAAGTCAAATGATGTGAGTTTTTATAATTTTTTTCTTAGTCTCAAAACTGGGAAACAGAGGAAACAGAGTTCTGACTGGACTGTAGAGATATAAGACATAAGAAACTAAGCAAAATGCATAAAAATCATGTTTGCTTTGCTCTTCTGAATCTTCTCACCAGATCAGCTCATTTATAAAACTGTCTAAACCTAAAACTGCTGATCAAACCTCATGTGGACGGTTTTATATTTGTGTTTGGAGCCATTGTTCTGTTGGAAAACCAGTTATGTGAGTTTCAAACAGTTACATGTTGATTTGAGATGAATTGATGGTCCACTTTGTGAACTAGAACCACTGGCAGCAATAAAACCCAAACATGATGCTGCCATTACCGTGCTTGACAAATGGTCCACTGTTTTTACAACTATAAGCCTCTTCTTTGACTTTCCAAACATATCTCTATTCAGTTTGGCTGATTGGCTCAATATTTTCCTATGTGAGAATAAAACGTCTCTACAGAAAGTCTTTGTTTGTCCATTTCAGCCATTTTGATCAAACCAAGCTTCTTGAATAGTTCCAATAGGGTTTTGGGTTAAAAGTTGGGCTCAGACCAGTAAACCAACCAGGTTATAAAAACTCACCTAATTCTGAACACTAATCAAATTTCCAAGCAGAATGAAAACAAAAGCTTGTTGATGGTGACGCTTTCTGCAAATGTCTGATTTACTAAATATTGTTGAACATGTATGTAATATTTAATCTTAGAAATAAAACCAGAAGTGAAAAGTTAACTACCTTGACGCTGTGCCAAAGCTTATTTGTGGTGGTAAAATGTTGGAAAACGTTTTCTGGTTACTGATTGGTTGTTTTGTTGTCCAGGTTGATCCTGACGTTTCCTACGCCTCCATCAGCTTTAAGAAACCCAGCAGCAGCAGGGTGAACTGTCCACTCAGTCCTCATGCCATCTGTTTCTATGGAGACATGTTTAAGTCATGTTCTGGTGTCCAAACATGATTTTTGATTCTTGCAGATTAAAAGTGATGATGAAGGAGATGCAGTGACATACAGCACAGTGAAAACTCCCTCCACTGATCCCAGCAGCTTCTAAGCTTCAATCAAGACGCCAAACAAACCAGGCTGAACCCGGCAAGTCATATGAACATATCTGAAATATTAAATATGCTATTTTGTGAAAAGGAACAAATTATTATTACTACATTTGACTCTCAGTGTTTGATTTAGGGACACAAACATCCTGAAATACATCAGACTTCTTCTAGAAACTCTTATTACTGCCTATTTTAGTAATTCAAACTCCAAATATACTTTTATATCCACTACCAGAACAGCTAACATCCAGTCAGTCTTCTTTACCTCCACTGTTCAGTTTACAGCCAATCAGCATTAAATAAAATGAACAGTGCTCCTGGATTATAGCATTAAGCCAAAGTATTTCAGCTTCCCACGCTGCATTTTTAGAAATGCTCAATTTTATATGTGTTCTGTAAAAACAATCTGCAAATAGGCAATTTTTATAAGAACAATTTGGAGTCAATCCACAGAAAAATCTACAAATACAGAACCATAAATAGTCAAGATCCACGGTAAAACAATGTATCACATTTTGATGGTTCAGCTGAATTATTGTTTGTATGAATTTTATTTGTTATTATTTTTGTATGATAGATTTTATGTCTTTATCCTGTTTTCCAATGTCAAATTGTTGTCATTAACATTATTATTATTTGATATTTAAATTCTTTGGACTGTTAACTGACCCGCCTGGTTATTACAGTTTATCTGAATGAAGTTGAAATATACCATAAACTGCTACAACTTAAATAATTAAAAAATAAAAAAAACAGCTTAAATGTTGGAACAACTTACTTTTTGATCACTTTCAAGATAAAATATTCTCTTTTATCAGTAAGTAATTTTTAAAAAGGATTTATTTTTTTACTTTGTTCTGCAGAGCATTATGAATTAATTATATCAGCCTCAGTCAAGCAGTAATTGAAAAGCTTATTTACTTCCACCTAGAGTCATATTTAAGGTACTACATCATCATGTTGTATGATGGAGCACATTTTTTTAATCTCGCTTTAAAAAATTTATTCTTTTAAAGCGAGATTTCCGCCCATGTCTACAAGCTCAACATCAGCTTTACTTCTTCAACTCAGTTTTTGTTCCACTTTGATCCAAGATGTCGTCTTTTTGTGCAGGATGTCACATGTTTGTTTTAGAGTTTTTTACTTTTACATGTTTTATTGCTCTGAAAAATGGATAAAACCTCATAAAGACACATCCTTTTTATTTAAAAAATAAATTCTTCCTAAATGGTTTGTGGGAAGTAACAGAATGATCAGCGTTAGCTTTGTTCAGCAAGTTTATACACACAAGCAAGACATTTGGTTTATAATACACATTTAGAATATTTTTGATACACACAGCATTTTTATAACAACTAAAAGTAACACAGTTTCCTCATTGCACTATAAAACTGCAACACATGCCTGGAAAACACATCATACCCCTTTAAAAATCTGTGCTCCTCTGTGCTGATTATTTTTTTCTGTTTGCACATTTTCACTTAATCTTTTGGTATAAGAAAAAGATCGGAGAAAAAAACTTCAAAAGTGCAAAATACTGACTTTTGTCCTCAGGTCAAAATGTTTAGCATCAAAACAACCTGAAGCAAAATAAAAAAATATATATTTCTATAGTTATTCTTCCTCAATACATATTTATTTTTCCCTGATATTAAATGTTCGTTCTGTTACATCACCTGCCCGGTTATTTTAATTTTTTTGTAAACGAATTTGTAACGTGTGGAGACTAAAAATAGTCAAATTTTAAACATGTCAAAGAATAAATGCATAAATGGCGCATTAACTTCTGAAAATCATAATAAAAATAGTTTAATGAATAGATTGTGATTATCCAGATAAAATGTCTGCTTCTATTATTTGTCAGTTTAAAAATGATTTTCTGGTTCTGTTCTGTCAACGCAAATAATTTAATTTCCCTTTGGGATTAATTAAGTATTTTTGAATTGAATTTAGTTGAAAAGAACAGCATCTCTACTGCCACCTATTGTCAGTTTAAAGGTTCTACATCATTGCGTGGTTTAACATCAGGTTTATTAAAGTATTTTTAAGGTGTGTTTTCTATTCTTTGAAGTTATTATTTACTTTATTTAAAAGTTTGTTTTTTTTACATTTGCTCGGTTGCTGTAAAATAGCTCATTGTTTTATTTCTGTTTCAAAAATATTCATATTGAAAACAAGGGGGCGCCGCCCACTGCAGGATTTCTGATGTTGAAATTTAGCTTTGGTGTACATTAACATAAAAATATCACATTTTAAATCAACACACAGCATGCAAGCTTATTCAAAAATACACCATAAATGTTATAATAAGACACTTAAGTAATTTAAAAATACTACACAAAATATTGATTAAAGCTGATTAAAGCAGATAAAGTGAACTATGTCAGTTTGTGATGTAAATTCCCAGCAGTTTATTGTTGAACACAGCAGATCATTCTGGCTTAAAAAGGAGGACTGCAAACGATGACCAAATGTTTCTGTTTAAAACTACAATCTGGGGTGTGAAACTTCACAGCTCAAATGAAGAAGTTAAAAAATAAGTACAGGAAGTAGAATGATGATGGTTTAAGAGCTCGAGCTTGCTGAGTTGTACAGGAAGCAGAGAGACGATGAAGCAGAGAGGAGCCATGG